TGTACCATTTAAAATAAAATAAAAAAGTGCCAGTGATTGACCTCAATCCCTCCTATTCTTCCAATATCCTGATGAAAAATAAAATCTCTCTGTTGCATAGGCCACTGTTTGATCAACGCGAATTGGGTGTGGGTCCTTGTAGCTACTCCGAGTCGGGCTAACGTCCACGCTAGCTTCCACGCTAGCTGCTATAGGTTTTGCATTGAGGTGATACTTGAGGCTTGATGTGCTGCGGTGATACGCAAATTCCTTTTTGCATAATTTGCAAACAACCGTGCTCTTATCGATGCTTCCATCCGTCCGTTTTTTAAAACAAAATGTCCCATCCACGGGGCCAACCAAAGCGGTCTCATCAGCTTGTTCGTTCATGTTTGACTATTGTTCACTGTGGTTTGTTGTTGTTTGAAGTCGTGAACGTTAGTTGGTGCTCCAGTATAATCGGTACCCCTGAAACTCATCCAGTGAGAAACGTTCTGCGGTGCAAAAATAAGTGCGATTAAAATGCGTTAATTTTTTTAACGCGTTAATTTTTGTGTAATTAATTAATCTTAATTAACGCGTTAAAGTCCCGGCCCTATTTTTTATTAAACATTTTTTTTAATAATAGTTGTATTTTTGCTAAATTTGACAAATTCATTTTCTGTACTGTGTATACAACATTATACACCAAAGCAAATTCCTATTGTGTGTAAATCTACCTAAACCTTTTTCTGATTCTATTTCAGCGATATCATTCAATTATAAGACGGTTCATTGTATGTCTACATACACTTGTGCCAGCAGAACTTTTCAGGTCCTTCGTCAGCTTTAAAGTTACCATTTTACCAAAACAGTAAATCCACTGCTGCTTAACCAGGGTGCAGAGTTCACCGAGGTCACAGTCGATTCACTAACCCCCTGTAATTTGCATTCATTTGTGCCTGTGTCTGCATGTGAACGGAGTGCCTGCATTACTTTGCTTGCAGCTTATGAAATACTTCTTTCCTGATAGGGCTTGCCTTTTAGGTCAAAGGTTGTTGAAGTCGAGTGAGTGCTGAGCAGAGCTGAACTTCGAAAGAAAGGTAAGCCGTGCAGGCGTGAACGTTGTGTCTTACATGTGTTTAAGTAAAGTTTGCTTTTAGTTTTCTCTTCTGTGATGAGGAGAGGGTTGAAAACCGAAACTGTGTACTAAAATAGAAAAGATATCCGAAACGTCGAGGTGCCATAAAAGCGATAGTTGTGTTTTAGTTTTGCCTCAGCAATAGTGAAAGGAGTTGCTCAAGAGGTTGTTTACCACAGGAGGTTTTGGTCTCTGCTGTGCAACAGCTGTTTCCTATCAGTGCAGAGGCTTCTCTGTCACCCTCGCTCTCGCTTCACACAGCGGCTAGTGAAATTATAATTTTTAAACTTTTGCAAGCTGTGACCCGATCTTCCAACTTGCTGATTGTATAATCTCTGCATTTCTCTGTAAGATGTACTCTCTCTGTGTAGAATCAGCAGGTCTCAGTGTTAAAGAGGAGGAGACAGTTGTAATACCTGGAATGCACTAACTTTTAAATGATTTATGCACCAATACTGCCATTAACTTCAAATTCAAGCACTTTAACAACAATGGCAGACCAAATTGCCTCTATGCAACTTGTTGTCAAACCATTTCAAAACACAAGCACTTTCCAAATGTAGCAGCCAGACAGCAAACTAAAACAATAGAGAATTGATCAGTTTTTCACTTTCCCTTGCCCTTACAGTTTGAGCAGAGTTGTGCATTTGTAGACTTAACACTTATCCCCAACTCTACAAACAAAGGACTTATAACATATATTATTATATTATATACATATCATGAGTAATAATGAGGTATTCTGTCCATTAGCTCGTCTACTGTGCTGTTTGTTCTCTGAAGCTGATGTTTGTTTTCAAGCTGCTGTTTAACCTTTTTCTGATCTCATTCAGTCAAAGCATGTTCCTGCCTCAGGTTTTCTCTGAAACTACAGTTACAAGAACAAACAAGACTTCCTATTCACACATAAGTTAAAACAATTTCGAATTAATTCCACAGGGACAGTTTTGGGGATATGTCATATTATTCCAACTAAGAATAACTATGGTACAAATATTTGTATTAACCACATTACATCCTAGTAATAAGTTGGAACATATTCCTACTTCACAAAGATCAAATGATTGTAGAACAATTCATTGAAAATATAGACTATGGTGTTGTATTTAAACTCAGAACATTTGAATTCCCCTTCAAGCGAATCAGAAATGATAAATGAACATAAACACAAAAACCTTCACTCCTGTCATTGATAATCGAGTGAAATAAACAGCCGTAAAAACACTTCAGGTTTATGAATTCCTCTGACCAGTTGCTCCTGTTGATGGGACAGTACTCTTCTAAACTGCGGTCAACCATTTACTCAATGGTCGACGGCAGTTTAATGTGTTCAGGAAGTCGTCTGCAATCATTCAAAGAAAGTTCCAACAACAGACTGAAACACTTTAACCTCAGTTTCTGACCATCAGGTTGAACCTTATTTCAGCATCCTGTCACAGTAGTGTCTGGTTTATGTATAACCTGTTAATTAAACTTTAACAGGTTTGGGCAGACCCACGTCTTTGTACCTTGTACCACGTGCGTGGGCTTCATGAGAGGGCAGGGCAGAATAAAGAAAGAGTTTTAAACATCTAACAATCTTACTTTTTGTTCCTGCCAACAGATGGAGAACGCCACTTTCTCGCCAGTGTCCCGTGTTGCCATTTGTGGTGGCACCCATGGAAATGAGATGACAGGCATCTACGTGGTGAGAGAAATGCAGAGACAGGAGGCAGATAGGACTGGATCTGTTTCTATAACCAGCATAATATCAAATCCAGGGGCTGTGGAGGTGTGCAGAAGATATACAGAAACAGATCTCAATCGTTGTTTCACAAAAGCCTTGCTGAGGTAATGTTGAAAAGAAAAGTAAAAGTACCAAACGTTAGCAATAGTATTTTAAAAGCAACTCACATTTGAAAACTGCCTTGTAATATAATTATAAAAACGGCTAGTTTAGAGGATGCATGTATAAGAAAGCTCATTACTTTTTCCAACTACCAGTTCCCCCATCAAAGATTCAACCCCCTACGAGGTGAGGCGCGCCCAGGAGATTAACACTCTGCTCGGGCCCAAAGAGAGCCAGGAGGCTGTGGATCTGCTGTGTGACCTCCACAACACCACCGCCAACATGGGCATGTGCCTCATCTTTTACTCCTTGGACTGGCTCCCACTGCACATTTACAAATACATTCAGGTAAGAGCATGGAGTTATCAAGACTAATAAACAATTATACTTCATGACAGGCATCTGACCTGGACTGTAATGATGCCAAAGATTAAAAACCGCAAATGTAGAAAATAAAGTGCCGGAACTGTTGGTCCCATAAGTTTCAAATTTAATTATGTTTGCATTTATAAAGAAATACTGTATTTGACTTACATGTATTATAAAGAATACCCTATTTATCAATGAGAAAGGGTCTGAATACTGTCTTTCTTTATGTTCAGGATAACACAATAAGAGACCTGGGCGGTGGGTGGCACTAGAAAAAAAGGTTCATAAATGTCTTTAGTATTCATACTGGGGACCACACATTTCTGTGCAGAATATCAAACATCAGAAATCTTATTTTGATCCCATAGCGGGAAAACCTACAGTGTTACAGCAAAAGGGATAGCACAGGTAGAGAAGGAATAAATCAAATGAATTCATTAACCCATGAAATTAAGAGGCAATCACATACTGCAGGAAGAAAGGACCTGCCGTATGTCTCCATGAGGCAAAAACTGAATCTATGGTCAAATTCCAGATAAAAGTGTTATAAAGTATTTTATGTTAAAACTCAAAGGGCTTAATTGAAGCAACTTTTCTGGTTTTCAGAGCAACATGACCTCTGCACCTGTGAGAGCAATGCTGCTGAGTTCACCCAAATCTGAGGCTCATTCCTTGGATTCAGTGGGTAAACATGGCTTCTGTAAGTGTGTGCATGTCTGCATGCATCCGAATAATTCGACTGATTATTATGTAAAAAACTAGAATTGCTTTTCTGCAGCGATAGAAGTCGGTCCTCAACCCAACGGTGTGCTCAGAGCTGATATCTTCAACATGGCGAAAGAGGCAGTGGATCTCACTATAGAATGGCTTCATAAATTCAATTCAGGTAAGAAAGAAATATTTAAATAGAGAGATTATCAACAAAAAAAAGTACATATTTTCAAAGGCACCTTCTTCATCTTTCCTTGTTTTGCTTACTGGGTAAAAATTATATGCTTCTTGATGATTTAAGGAATCTGAATTTGAAGTTTTCTTTAAAAATAATGTTACTTACGTAATTACTCATCCATAGTGTTATCTAGACATTAACATAGTTTAGTTTTTATTTGCTCAAGTTTGAGATACATTCTGTCTAACCCAAGTACAACGGAGGGTCGTACAGCAGATATCTTAAAGCCTGGCCAAACCATAACCTTCTGCAAGATACCATCAGGGTTAAGAGAAATATTTTTCTTATCATTTAATAAAGCTGTTATATTACCACGTTACCTCTGACGCTTAGCCACCTTGAACACACCACCATTACAACCATTACTTTGCCAACAGGAAGTACTTTTGAAGAAGGTGAAGTGGAAGCATACACTGTCGTGAAGAGTGTAGACTACCCAAGGGATCCAACAACCAATGAAATCACTGCTATCATTCACCCCGAGCTGCAGGTAAAGGACAAGTACATCTGGTGGAGATACATGCAAACATAAGCCTTCACTGAAAGCGTCTATAATCTAACAACATATCAAATAACAATGCATAAGGGTCTCGATGGGTCTACAGACAATAATCGTCTTCATCTTGGCTTCATTGAGCTTTATAGCAAGTTTCAGTCAGAACTCTGTTTGTCCAAAGGCAGAGTCATTAAACCATCTTTTCTTTAGCTAATCACAGGGTCAAACTGGTCAGGAAGCAGAAGAAATAGCTGGGAAGATACAGTATCTTATCAGTTTGTTAGCTGCCTTGTGCCTCTCATTCTCTGCTGGAGATAAAACTTGCAATGTTTTGTCAAAGAATGTAGACCATTCTCTCTGGAATATTTAAATATCAACAAGATAGCAAGAGAAACTCAGAGTTGGTTGGGCAGAGGCTCTCTCTAGGATGCCTTAGCATATGCTCGTCAATTCTCTGGCCCACTGGCACAGTGATGTCAATGTTGTGCTCACATCCACTCTCTGTTGCCCCCATATTAGATATTGCAGGATTAGCCATTTGCAAGAAATCGAACAAGCATAGTTACCAAAATGTGAAACTATTCCTTTAAATAGTTTCACCGGGTAGTTTTAGTTACACAGATAAATGCAAACATGCAAGATTGCTGTGATTTAGAAAACTATGAGGGTAACAGGTAACTTGATACTTGCATTGAAAAGCTGCCCTGATGCGTTTGACTAATCTATGAGAGGTCTCTATCTTCTCCAGGATAATGACTTCAAGCTTCTGCAGCCAGGCGACCCCATGTTCCTGTCTTTTTCTGGGGAGACGGTGAAGTACGAAGGAGAGGACCTCCACCCTCTCTTCATAAATGAGTGTGCTTACTATGAGAAGAAGATTGCCTTCCATTTAGCCAAGAAGATCACAGTGACCCTCCCGTCTATAAGTGTGAAGAAGGACTGAGACTACGGAGACGGAAGGAAACCAAGACTTAATTTACATACTTCAAATTATAATCACAGAGATGTGTACACTATATGTATAATCATGTTTTAAATCATATCAACAACAAAAATGTACTCGCCTGTGCAGTGACTAAATATTCAACAGGTGCTGGAAATGATAACATGATTACCTCCTTATCGCTATACAATACAGGAGCAGCTGTGCAACATTGCGATCTCTGGGAGGCAACAAAGGGTGTTTTTGTATTAAATCAGTTTATTTTTTACTTGAGTGACATGTATACATGCTGGAATTTTAATCTGTACCTTCTGTATAATAATTAGACTAGGACATTGATATTTTATAAACTGTGGCAAATATGCAAATAACCGAATCACTGTGAAGTTTTTGATGGTGTGATTTGACTTTCAAATGATTAGACGCTGATGACTTGCTGCTAAGATATGTTTGTTCACAAACTAAGTTTAGTGAACTTTTGCTCATTGCCACGTAACACAAAATTGAGTTGAGGTTTATGGGAATACCTGGGAATTTAATATTACTCTCTCGAAAAAAATAGCAACAGAAAAGCATTTGAGTTTCTCTTACATAATTTCAGTCTAAGGATTGACGATTACTTTTTACTATTAAAGTACACCACAAGAGAAGAAGTCAGCAAATGTCAATTTATAAATACAGAAACAGGAACAGTGTGCTTCAGAATACATAAAAACATTTACAAAAGCCTGTGTATACACATGAGACGAATAACAAAACATTGTGACACAAAAACATCACAATTTGTAATCTGGTATATAGAAATGTGTAATATTGGTCACACAACAAAGTGACATATCATTCACTTTCCAGGCAGATGTTGAGTTTAGAGGCTTACATTTCTGAGGATTTTCACTTGCAAGTGAATTCGGCAATTTCAACTGTTGTTAAAAACACCCGTCTATTTGCTCTGAAGTATCATGGAGCAGTATTTAAAAAGGCTTTAACTGATGCAATATTTGGCTGTCAAACCAGTCAGTTAGGTAACTGAACAAACAGACCTCTAGAAAGGAACAGACAACGACTGCAACCACGTCTAGAAAAACATTTCAAGTAGTTTAACAAATGTGAAGTGGCAGTAGTATAATTTTGGGGCTGAAGCAATAGAATTTAAATGTTACAAAGAGGTATCAAGTTTGCAAAAGTGGCGTCAAATCAACTCAGTATTTTACGTGTTAATAGATATTTATTCTATAAACACAGCTGCTGACGGGAGTGGTTAGAGTTTAACAGTGACATTTAGTGAACACACATCACAGGCTGAAACAACTACCACAGATGACAGTAATGTCAGTTAAAAAAAAAAAAAAGGCATGCAAAAATAAAACCTCACAAATAAATAAATCATAAAAAAAGGCTTTTATAATATTTGTCATGCATTAATAGAGAAAGCTACCCTGGCTTAGATAAAGACGGGTTTAAAATCTACCTATTACTGATTTAAGGGCAATGTGGTGAGCAGCTTTGGAAACAATGGCAAACAAAAAGAAGGCATTCAAATACATCACACCAACACAGTTAACATCTGGTAAAATACACTATAGTACATGCTTTGGCTAAGATATAGGTTAGAGGTTAGAGAAAAAACTAAAAGGTGAAATAACCTGACAGGTTTTAAACCTTATTATAAGCACTTATGATTCGCTGCAAAAATGGTTAGGTGTGTCCCTGCCTAGATCTATGATATCCTGTTACTGTTTTTTTCTATTGAAAGATTGTTACAGAGGAAGTGACCAGTACAGATGTGTTCTTAAGAAAGTCCTCAGAGCAGAAGTCTGATTCAGGTAAGAAGCTGTAGCAGTCTCTCTTTAGGCTACCCTGTACGCCGTCATGCGGCTGTAGTTTTTGCGGTGACTCCTCGCCGCCCACAGAAACAAAGCAGCTGCCATCATCTGCAGGGGGAAGGAGATGAGGGCGAGGTAGAGGGACCAGCCCAACGAGCCCACCACCCCTTCTGGGGGAGGGGAATACTGTTGGAGCAAATCCACGCCCGCCAGGAAGCAGCAGACGGTACCCAGAGTGCACAGACCTGAAGAGGAGAGACACAAAGATGAAACACCAAACAGACAGTTTGACGCACTGCTCGGTTTGTGGAGGTGTGAAGGCAGGAGGAGGAGAGAAACTAGAGAGTGAATGTATTCTATTGAACAAAAACAGATTAATGCTGAGGAAAAACTATTTTAACGGCAACAGCTGGACCCTGGCTCAGAACAAGTCCACTAGCTTCAAGTCACTTTTATCACTGCCAATCATGATTTTGTTCATACTGCATGTTGTAGCAGAAATATAAATAATTAAAAACCACCTCGGCATACCAAATATCACATTTCAAATGACTGTGTATTGTCACAAGTCAAAAGAGGTCAGGATCTAAAACAATGATCGATAACATAAAGGTTTCCCTCATATTAATTATTCAAAGCAAAGAGAAAAACCGTCTGATGTGTCTGGGAAATTAAAAGCTAAAAAGGTTTCATTACTAGAAGTCAGATATGAATGTATGAAGAGAAAACTCACCTTACAAGAAGAGAGCCATAAGCAGCACCGCCAGGCTGATGTTAGTTTTAAGTTTGAGAATCATCAGCTGGACTAAGGCACCATGGCGCTGATGGCTAACGTGTGTTCAAATGCCTCCAGCAATTATTTTCTATTCAAGCTCACACACTTGCACCATCATTGGTCATAGCCGGGCCGGCTAAAATGATTGGTCGTGCTTTTTACAGTACTACGGCTTCCACAGATGACATTTTTTAATGGATTTTTTGTCAAAGCACTTCAGATATTCATTGCTATCGGGATGTTAAGAGCATTCCATGGAATATAACAAAATTTGTATCTCGAGCTGGTTTTCTCAAACTTACCTNGAAATCCAAACACCATGACGACCTCCTAACCTATCAGGCTATCCTCTCCTCTTTCTCTGCTTCCATCTCTCAGGCAAAAAGCACTTTCTTTCAAGATAAGATCNTAGCCGGGCCGGCTAAAATGATTGGTCGTGCTTTTTACAGTACTACGGCTTCCACAGATGACATTTTTTAATGGATTTTTTGTCAAAGCACTTCAGATATTCATTGCTATCGGGATGTTAAGAGCATTCCATGGAATATAACAAAATTTGTATCTCGAGCTGGTTTTCTCAAACTTACCTACCCCACCTTTAAGTGTTATTAGATGTGGTTTGTTAGTGTTACACTTCACAAAATAAAGTCTGCAGTGAGTTTCATTTAGTACAAGGTCTTCCCATTTAAATAAAAGCAGCAGCCTGGTCCAAAAACAACCTATGGTGTATTTACCCTGTCCAATATAAATGATACATTGGGGAAGGTGTTTGCATGAATCCCAAAAGTCTCTTGCTACAGAATTTGCCACCACACCCCTTGAGTTGTGTTTTCTTGTTTACATATTGCAAGATGGTGGAAAGCATCGTAAATCCAGATGTCCCTTTTGAACATTTGAACAACTATTTGTTATGTATTCTGTGGTCCATGGGTGAAATAAGGTAATGAGCATGCATTTTGCTCACCTGCGAGCAGATGGAGTACTCCCACACCCAAGGTGGGGGTGAAGCTGCGGCACAGGCAGGCGCAGACCCCAACAAGGCCGCCAAGGAACACCAAAGCTAGGGACGCCAGGGGTAGCAGAAACTGGCACCTCCACAAGTCTGGAAAAATAGAGAACATTAACTAAAAAAATACTTTCAACCCCTACAAATAAAACATTAATGTTAAAAAACATTAAGACATTGAAGGAAGAAACCAAAGACAATTGTCACAATTGGATGGATATAAAAAAGCATGAGGAAGTGGAGACTGAACAGTATATTGTGACTAAAATTCTGTTTTTACAGCCGTTTTTATGGTCTAGTGAAATTGGGTTGAAATGGAAGCAGGGTAAACAGAAAGCACAACACAAACATGGATGAGGGGAAACAGGGTGGACTCACATGTTCTCAGCAGATCTTCCTCACTGTTAGGGTTTCCGAGATGTTTGTACTTTGGACTGAACTGCTGAGAAAGAGTGAAGCTCACACATTGCCTCTCCATCTTCGGATCTGAAGTCAAAAGAGAAAGCACACATTTAAATGAGCAGTCATCATCAGATAATACACATTTGTTATCATTTTTACTGAAGAAGCTAGCTCTATCATTGCAGGTAACACGGCAAAACAATAGGCAATGAGTAATTCATTACACAGATAATATAACAATTGACTTTCAACTTTTACCCTTAAGTAACTTTCCAAGCTAGCCAAAAAAGAACCATTCTGTACCATTTTAAATAATCATAACTCTAAAGGAGGTATTCATCTGGTGTCAAGAAAACAATCTCTATTGACAAATTTTATCAAAATTAAATGATATATGTCTGCTCGCATTTCTCTGTATTGCAGTCACACATTTGGTGTCTCAAAGTTTGTGATCTAAACTGCAATTTAAAATAAATCCCTCCCTAACCATGCATGCGTCTGCTTAACATCATCTTATAATGTCAGTGCTTCCTAATAGTGTACAAGTACATTTCAAAAGTTCGTTAAAAAATCACCCCCGTATCGTAACGTATCATTGAACTGTGTCTGTGGGTTAGTACAAACATTTGTATTATTTTAGTTTGATTTAATTATGGTTAAAAATAGGATGATGTTTTTTGTTGCCTGAAATTATCTGGTGTTTTGCTTTGTTTTATGTATGTTTGAGTGTATGAGGACCTAAGGAAGAATGTTCATGCTTATGTTAGTGATCCTAATAAAAGTATAAAGAATGAATTAGGGAGAATTCAAGAGGCTGTATCTGAAAGAAACCTGTAGAGATGGATAATCTCCAATAATCCACATTCTATGGATAAGCTTGCACTAATGTACATTCTCATAATATTGAAGTGACTGTTATTTTGTACATATTGATTGTTGTGTTTTTATTTAGGTCTTAATGTGTGCACATGTAAAAATGTGTCTTTGACTGTGTATCTATATTGGCAAACATCTTTTTATATATATTTGTTTTAATATTTGGGATTGTGGGAAAAGGTATTTCGATCTCTCGGTCTGTACACACGAACTGGAAGATTGACAATAAAGATGACTTTGATGTGATATATTCAAAAGGAGCTCATACCTGGCTCTTTGAACCAGTGGGTCCGGCCTGGCACCAGTATGCACCTCCACCACAGCCCCAGGGTGCCGTTCAGGCGGAACAGGATCTCGCTGTAGGTCTTCTCATCAACCTCTCTGATGAACTCGTCTCTGAGCTCGGTGGCGTTGCTCCCCTCACGTTTCCCCGGTGGACAGCTGTACTGGTACCAGTGCTGAGTGCCCACCGCCACAGAGAGGTACACCGTGGCCATCAGGCTCAGCACCGAGCCGATCACCAGAGCTGTGGCATAGCGATTGTCTACCATGATCTAGGTCGTTTTGAGCTGGTGTATACAAGAATAAAATGCAATTTGATTAAATAAATGTATGTAAATGTATTGGCTTCCACTGTTTAATTTTTAAAACTGATATTTCCGCTTGGTATTAAGGCACCACGGCATATCTGTTAACTATTGTCAGATAGTAATGGCAACGAGTATCTCAACATGATACTCTATTTAATAATATTGCAGTGCAGCATTTTGAGAAACGTCCCAAACACGGAGGCGTTCAAATCCTGCAGAAAAAAACAAAAACACACATAGGTTAATGTAAACCTTTAGCTATTAAGTGTTCCTTGCTGTGTTTCATCCTTTAGTTGTTGATGGTAAACAACACAGATAATAACAATAACAAGGAAGGTGGCTTCCTGTAACGTAGCATCTAATTAGCTAGAGCTAATTATCGTTAGCTACAGCTGGCTACATACGAAACATTTAACAATTACATTTGACAATTAAACGTTAAGGATTCAATTCACTTTATTTACCTCATCACTGGAACTGTCGAATATTGGCGTTGTTTCGTCTGCTTTTTACATTTTCAACAGGCCTCCGCCCTCTTCTTTTACGTGCGTTAGTTTTCTTCTTTTCATTTGTTTAGTTTTATCGGCGGTTGGCAACCAGCGTGTTAATACACTAGCGCCACCTTGTGCTCCGGCGTGTTACTGACATTATATTTACCAAGCAGAAGAGAAGCAAATAGCCAGAGGTGGAAGAAGTACTCAGACCTTGTACCTAAGTAAAAGTAGAATTAACAAAGAATAGGAATACTCTGTTTCAAGTAAAGATCCTGCATTTCAAATGTTACTCAATTTTAAAAGTACACTAGTATGAAGATCAAAATATACCTAAAGTACCAAAGTAAAAGTACTCATGCAGATTGGCCCATTTCAGAAAATAAATCATGTTTTGATTATAATGATTGATGCATTGAAGTGTTATCAAAGCTGGTAAAGGTGCAGGTAGTTTTAATGACTTTGTAACTAACTAAACTAACTAACTAAAGATATACATAAATGTAGTGGAGTAAATGTACACTATTTACCTCTGTATTTAGTTACTTTACACCACTGCAAATACGTTTTTAATTGTAATAATAATAATGATCATTATGAGAATATATTTATTTAGCCCGTTTCACTCAATGCTGTCGTCTGTCTCCCTCTCTTCCCCTGATGTCTGTCTCTCTGTCACTTCAAATCAGCTTGCCACTCCCCCACATCCCCCCTCTTCCTAACCTGTCTGTCTTCTTTGCCAGCTGTACCAAACCAACCGACCACCTGTCTGTCTCCTGTCTCTGTTCCTCCTCCTGTCTCATGTTGCCCCTCGGTCCATCTCTGTTGCAGCTCAAGGTCTTTGCTTTTTGTCTTTTGGGGAGGAATGTCACCTAACAGAGAGATCGGCCTCCAAATGTGACAGGAGAGTCAAGAGGCAGATTCAAACACACACTTCTCGGCTGACGCAACATGTGCGTGTCCCCGCTCCCCGAGGGCTGGTCTCATGGAGCTGCTTAGGCAGATTCTGGGGAGGAATTCAATTTGCCGAGTGCTGATAGGGAGGAGAGGACCAGGGTTGCTGCTCCAGGAGTGATCGTCCACTACGATGTCACCCTCTCTCTCCTCTCCTCTCCGTCCCTCTGCACTTTTACAGTGAGTGTGATTGAAATGAGTCCCTTAATGACTTGTCCTTTACAAATGGTCCAGTAACGATCATTATTCTTACACCGTGCTGCATTAAAACATCCCAAAATGAATCCAGACTTTTACTGCAGCAGCTGGTGTGAGATTTTCTCTGGCTGGGTATGAGGTCAAGGTGCCGTCTAACTGGTAACAGCAGGGGTACAGGTTTGATTACTTTGTGTTGGAA